TCAGACCCTGGAGTCCTCACCCCCAGCCCCCTCCTCCCTCAGACCCTGGAGTCCTCACCCCCAGCCCCCTCCTCCCTCAGACCCAGGAGTCCAGGGTCTCCAGCCGCTCCTCCCTCAGACCCAGGAGTCCAGACCCCCAGCCCCTCCTTTCTGAGACCCAGGGGTCCGGGTCCCCAGCCCCTCCTCCTCCTCCCTCAGACCCAGGAGTCCAGGCCCCCAGCCCCTCCTCCTCCTCCCTCAGACCCAGGAGTCCAGGCCCCGTGCCCCTCCTTCACACCTTGTACTCTGCCCCCCAAATTTTTCAGGGATCCATGCATTTGGCTCCCTAATCTATGTGTATCTTATTTTGCTTCCTCTTTCCAGTGATCCTGTCTCCCAGCCTTTTCTCCTCAGGGGCCCAGGAGTTCCAGCTCAGAGCTTCTGGACCCTAAGAACCAAAGGGTCTTGACTCCAAGTCCCCTCAGAGAACCATTCATCTAATTCCTCAGCCACTTAGGACCTCAGGCTTTCAGGCCAATCTCCCAGCCCTTACCTCCTCAGGACTCAAGGGTTCAGGTCTGCCAGCCTTCCTGGTGTCTGAACCCAAGAGTCCTAGCCCCCTGCTCCTGCTCCCCAGGAGTCCCGACCTCCAGCCCCCCCCCTCACCTGCCCGTCAGGCTTGGTCTGCTGCGAGAGGCCCCGCTCTCTGCTGTCCCCTGGGTTCCAAATGCCGGCCCCTCCTTCCTGCTCCCTGCCAGGCCACCCCGCCTCCGCATACCTGAGCACTCACCTGGCACAGCCCAGCAGCAGTGGCCCCTGGGAGGGGCTGGCAGGGACACCAGGGTTGGGGTGGGGGAGCCAGGAACTGTGACTGTCTCTGTTCTAACAGCACTAGCGCAAGGACAGCAAGTCATTCGATGTCATACTTGGTCACAAAACCAAAAGCTCAGCCTCAAATACCCTCTTCCAATTGTCCTTATACCACCGGGAGGTCAGAGGTTTGACTCGCACCTGTTTGCAGTTCAAGAGGGGGTCGTCAATGTGGGAGGGGTGGCATTTGAACCCGGGGCTGCCTTTCTGTCTCCGGGGCCAGTCTCTCTCCCTGCCCGGTGCACACCTCCTGTGTATGGTTCCTGCCTCCCCCTGCCTCTTCCTCTCTCTCTCTCTCTCTCCTGCCCGGTGCACACCTCCTGTGTATGGTTCCTGCCTCCCCCTGCCTCTTCCTCTGGAACCCCCCCCCCAGTAACCCCCTCCAATCATGGTAACAGACTCAGAGCCCCACACAGCTCCAAGTACTTCTCAAATGTTAACGAGCTCCTCCGGCTTGAAATCTCCTTTCCAGAACTTCTTGTGTCCCATGGCCCTTGCCGACCACGTTATCTGCACCATTTCTTCCCAAAACCCAGTGAAGTGAGGTTGGGGGTCTCCATTTCACAGATGAAGAAACTGAGCCCCATCTGGGTGAAGAGGCTTGCCGGAGGTTACACCTGCAGGGAGTGGATGAGAACAGCAGACGCCAGAGCTCGACCTCGGAGAGCAGGAGGGGCGGGCATGCCCCCTTTTAGCCTTTCGCTTTATCAATGATCCCCACTTGGTTCCTGACATCATCCGCTCACACCTGACCTTGCAGAGCCTCCTAGCTGGCCCCAGCTCCTCTCCACCTCCATCACCACTTTCCAGCACACCTCTTCCATGTTGCTCCGTCCTGCCTCAGGGCCTTTGCACTTGCTGTGCCCTCTGCCTGGAATGCTTATTCCCTCAGATATCCTCATGGAGGGTTCCCTCACCCCCTTCAGGTCTTTGCTGGAATGTCACCTTCTCAGAGAGACCTGGCTGACCACTCTATTTAACACTGCAGCTCCTCTTACCCTCCTGTTCCTCGTGGTCTCTCCCGGCTCCCTAATTAATTTTTCTCCAGAGTGTCTACCATCTTCTAACATACTGTATTACCTGATCACTTTGATTATTGTATGTGTCCCCCATTAGAGTGTAAGCCTCATGAGGACAAAAACTTCTGTGCGTTCAGCCCTGCACTCTATCTGCCGCTCTTTGGAGTAGCGTCTAGCACATGGCAAGTGCTGGAGGGATACTTGCTTTTGGTGCATTTGTATGTATTATGCTCCATTGTTTTGTTCAGCACACGTTGACCCCACAGTCTATGCTGAGTGAGGCTGGAAACCAGAGAATGCACCCCTTTGTCCTGGGCTGACGGGGATGAAAGAATAGAGGGGAAGAGAGACAATCATATGGTGTGGTGTGATGGCAGAGAGCCCAGGTGGGTGTGGGTTCGGGTTGTGACTTAACACCTAATGTGGGTGTGCTTCTGAGTACACTGTGTGTGTGTGCATACACATCCTCATCAGCATCCTATGAAATGGGTTCCACTCTCATCTCATCTCATCTCATCCTCACAGCATCCTATGAAATGGGTTCCACTACCCCCCTTTTACACACGAGGAAGGGGAGACACACACATGTTAAGGAATTTGTCTACAATCACACGGCTCATAGATGGTGGGGATGGTTGAACCCAGGCCATACAACTCAGACCCTGCATCCTTTGGTGCTACCCTACATGGCCACCTCGTGACTCTGCCCCTTTCTAGCTGTGTGGCCCTAGGCAAATCACTTAACCTCTCTGTGCCCCAGTACGCCAACTGTAAAATGGGATCGAAATATTGGGAGGATTAAATGAGGTTACGGAGAGCTCTCAGCAGCGTCCCTGGCAAAGGGAGATGATAGGTTGAGTGTTTGCAACGGCAGAGATGGTGGCCTTTCTTTCCCTGTCTGCTCTGATGGGGACGCAAAGAGCACTGCGGAAGCCCAGAGGAGGCCGTAAGGAGGTCAGGGCAGGCTTCCTGGAGGAGGAGGGGCAGCCTGAGCGGAACCTGATGGGCGAGTTTGGCAGCCCCAGGTGGCCTGGAGGATGAGGGAGGAGTGTTGCAGGCCACGGAAGTGCCTGAGCGGTGGAGGGGAGGGCCGGCTGGCCAGCGCATGTGCTCTCTGGAGAGCTGCAGGGAGAGGCAGGAGGGTCTTGTGTTCCTCTCTCTCTGACTGCTGTCACTCTGGGCTCCTGTCACATCCAAGCCACAAGTACTGTCTGAGCTTGGCCCTGCCTGGGTTGGGGTCTGCAGAGAGGAGCAGACCCCTTACCCTCTGAGAGGCAGGTGGCCTGGGACTAGTGCCCACTGGCGCAGAACACAGAGGCTCAGAGTGGGGAGGCCACTAGCCCAAGGTCACAGTGGCCCTGGACCGGTGAAACAAATGCATATCTGATTGGGGACAGGTCCTTTCTTCATGTGCAAATGGAGAAAATTGTCCTCATATAAGCATTCCATGGGAGTCAGGGACCAGGACTCCCCGGTCTGAGGGAGGAGGAGATGGGGGTCTGGACTCCTGGGTCTGAGGGAGGAGGGGCTGGGGGCCTGGACTCCAGGGTCTGAGGGAGGAGGGGACTGGGGGCCTGGACTCCTGGGTCTGAGGGAGGAGGGGCTGGGG